GTCTCCCTCCACCCCCTCCACGTTACAGCAAGTGCCCTGCCAATCAGGCTGCCACATAATTCCCCCTTTTCCCAGCGTATTAAACATTCAGTCTGGAAAGTGAAGAATAGTTTGAACAAAGCAATAACCGTCCGTAATTTAAACCGGATTGTTTTGTTTTGCGAGTTTCTTTTCCAGAAGACCTGCAAAAGAAAATACAGGGCGCGTTTGCGAGAATTTTCACCCTTTAGCGTTGGCCATCAAAGGACTTCTGCTGCTATGAGAAATCGCTTGCAACGCTAGGAGCGCATGCGCTTGCTTGGACGTGTCGAGCCGCGCCCGCCGCGCCCCCAACGGGGGGGATTTATAACTGCGTCCGAACGAGGGAGCACCTGCACCTCGGTCCTTTTCCCGCCCCCGCGGTCCAATGAGGTCCAATGGGATCCTTCGCACGTGACCGTCGGTCGAAAAGCGGGTGGTGGGGGGCTGCACGGGGGGCGGGGGCGAGGAGCAGGGGAGGCGCGGCGGCCTCTCGACAAGTTTGAACCTGTCGACCGCAGTACCGCAGTGCAGGGAGAAACACGGGATGAGCTGGTGGTGTTCGCCGTATTTGCTCTCGGCACATGCTCAGTGTACGGGTATTTTCATGGTTTTTAACCGACTGAACCGATTCTTGTTCGAAGTTGTGTTTACAACTTGAAATCAGGTATGAGTCACGTATGTTACACTGTGACAGGTGACAGTTCTTGTGTGCTCGTCGCTGCAAACGGGGGTGCACACCGAAACGTCGTCAAGACGTTGTGCAATAGAACAACGTTTTAACGTCGTTTTCAGGTTTTCCTTTAATATCATCGCTGGGATTCACACATTTAATTGGGTTAAACGAGAAATTCTATATTTCCCTGGTAGCGGTCGGCCAGAGAGAAATCAGCCGGCTCACATGGACCATCGATGACTCAGATCCCAGATGATGCAATCCATCTATCCTAATACTATGTGAACAGGATTTGCAAAGTTAGTTGACCCCTAGTGTCCGACCATCGTTGGGGTGAAGGGTTTTCCATTGAAAATACTTAATTCTTAATTTGTCTAAATTATCAGCTGATGTTTAATTGAAAACAGTGTCCCGGTCATACACAACTTGGCACCTGTCAAGATAGCATCAGCTGGTCCTTGCTTCAGTCACTCAAAATTCTGCTCTTGTTATTTAGGTGAAGTATTATTAGTCCACATGAATTAAATATTAGAAAACGTCTTATATTTGCTAACAATCAGACAATTTGTTTAATTGAGCTTTCGTCAAAGTTATTGTAATGTCAATAAATTTTCCCTTTTTTGGCCAGTCTGGGGTGACTCATACAGATGATTGCATCATTACGTGACCATTTTTTTTTTTTCACTTGCTTCTGATGTGTTTAGTGTTTAGTGAAATAAGTAAAGAAACTAAAGATACCAAATTGATAAAAAATTATTAATGATCAAATAGAATCTCAGTATTTGTTATCTAATTAAGATGTTGTAAAATATATTTTCTATTCATTACAGGATGGCTAGTATTTTGCCGGTGGTAGGGGTGTTGTTAGTGCTGGGAGTGTCTAGTGGAGTGACCCAGCTCTGTGAAGACGACACAGATTGTAAACATGGATTGTATTGTTTTTCGGCAACACACAACTGTGTGCAGTGTGTTGAATGTAGTGAGTACCGAAGACACAATACAAGAAAGTGTGTGAAGGAACCGCTTCAGTGTGGCGAATGCCTAGATGGGTGAGCTATTGTTTTTTTCTTTGTCTAACTCCACTTAGGGTCATTTTAACTGCTCTATTTGGTTTTGAAAATAATACTGTTATACTGTATCAACTTTTCTAAGTAAGATTTTTATTTTATTTTAGCTATGAATTAGAGATCCTCTCTGACGGCGTCAGAGATGTATGTGTGCCAACTCCAGGGCAACCATCCTCAGCACACATGACGACAGCTCAGAAGTCATTGGAGATGTCTTCTTGGCTCCTCTATGGAGCTATTTGTACAATCGGCGTTTCTTTTGCTGCTTGTGCTTTTTTTGCAGTTTTTAAATTGAAAAACGTCTTACTTTTGAAGCATCGAACACGCTTCTTCCCAGAACTTGGTAAGTCAAAAAAGTTTTCATTGTCTCAGCTCTATTGTGGTTGCTTGTGTTCAATTTTTAAGCACTTTTACCTATTTCTCTAGTAGTACCAAGTGCATAAAATGAGCTTGTTTCATGCGCTTACTAATGTGCACTATTTATTATTGGTGCATTTAAGGCATGTAATTAATGTGCGTTTGGTGCACATTGATTATTCATGGTGCATTTGGCACTACTAGGGCTGCTGCTCTCAGTTTCTGGAAAAATGTTTTTATAACCTAATGTAAGTGTTTCAGTTCTTAACACAGAGCTAAAACATTTAAATGTGACATTTTTTTCATAGGATTTGCTAAAAGTTGCTCAGTTGGATGAACAAGGGACTCATTTCCAGAGCAATCAACATATTCCTCTCCCTCCAATACTTCTTGATATGTGTTAGAGAAGCAGTTATTCTTCTGCTCTTATTCAAAATTATTTTAGAATGTTGCAGTGCTTTGGATAGTTTTTAACTCTTACCTAGCCAATAACTGAAAGGTTTTGAATTGGACATTTCATTTCTGTCTAATCATGGCTGTATACTATCCGTAGCACGTCCAGCATTCTATTGCAATCTTTTATTTCTCATCTAATCTTTTAAAATGCTCCTCAGATTTCAGTTTACTTTTAACACTACTTTAATTTTCTACAATTAAAACTACTCAATAGAAGTAATAAGGTTAAAAACATGGGAGGGAGAGGTCTTGAAAGACTTCCGAAGTGTGGCCGACACTCTGCAACGATGGCATGGATCCTGGAACAAGTTCCGAGCCGGAGCAGAGGCGCAGAATGTAATGCTGGCCTTGGCAGCTACATTTTTAACATGGTTGGTGATGTTCACTTTAGAATATGTGTTTTTCTACCTTGAAAATTAGCCAGGAGGCCAATTGCTTTCACATTTAGTGCTATTTGCCAACAAGAAGCAAGCCTGTGCTGATCATTTGTTTAGTATATCTCAGCTTTGTTACTGGAGCCTGAGATTAAAAAGGCAAGGCTTTGTTGGTGTGGTGATTATACACAGTGAAAACTGCTGGCATTGGCTGATGTTCTTGCTTTTTCATATATGACATAGCCACATTGGATTTACTTTGGAATATGTATGTTTTTAATATTCACTTAAAATATTGTGGTTGTGTAAATGAGGCCTGATCTTGGCCTCTCCTAGAGATCATATAGTTACACAGTACAGTACATATATTTCTTATCATTTGCAAGTTGCCTTTGAATTTCTTTAGTTTTGTTAGAATTTCTCCAGTGGTGTACATAGATCATAGAAAGTGTTTTATGTGTACATGCTAAACTTAATTGTGTTGGTTTTGTACATATTAATCGGGGCTTTCCAAATAAGTAGTTTGACTCCTACTCACTTCCTAATCCTTCTTATATTTTTATCCTTGCTGCAGATTTGTTTCAATACTGGAATGCTGTACATCCCATTTTTTGAAAAAAGAAAAAAAAATGAAAAAAAGTGGATGAGGCGTTAGAAAGAGAATTTGGTAGTTTTTGACATCTACTACTAGCATAGTGATTTCGCTTTTCTTGACCTAAACTATCTTTCATAAATGAAATTTTTCAGCTATATTACCAATTGAACTATTTTTCTATACGTATATAAATTATATATAATATACTTAAACAATTTCATAGGTGAACAAAATTAACTTTGTTGTGCCATAATAGTTTTAAATCTCCCATAACATTAATATTTTGTTGAATATGCTTTTGATCTTTTTTATAATTGCACCATAGTGAAAACATAGTGGAAGGTGTTGGGCATTACTGCACTTAAACACGTCTATTGTTATTTCATGAGAATCCTTTAAGTGGAAGCTCTCACTATTTTAGGTGCACATCAACATTTACCATGTTAATGCCTGTGAGGCATTAGAGCACATCACTTGAAGTTTTAACCTTGGCCGACGCATGTGGAATGGTTGCATGTATGGGAGCGCAGGAAATTACTTTTTCAGATTTGTTGATATCCCACTGTCTCTGATTTCAGAGTCCACGTCCACATCATCTAGTGCATTATATGCACCATCTGCACCAGCTCCACCACCTACAAATACACTCACAGGTGAGTAATGAAACTATTGTTTCACTCCATTTCATAAATTATTGTCCATAACACATGTTTTAATTTAACTGTGCTTTTGTTACAGCTGTGCCTAAATTTTTCTTTGAGGAAGAAAAAATGATCCCAAAAAATGAAATGATCTCGGGCTATGTACAAGAAAATAAGTGTAATGATAACCTGCAAATGGCGGGCAAATTTATTAGCCCATCATGGGTCCGGTAAGTTGTTTTAGATATCCACTAAACGCTAGAACAGTTTCATAACTGTTCAAATTATGTTTTCATGACCTTTCTCTTTTTCCCTCTTGCAGTAATTCTCCTGATGACCATCCTGATGATCTTGTTCTCAATAATGGAGGTAAGAATTTTTGGATACGTACTTTATATGTGCTCGTTTGAAAAATTAAAATATTCATCCTTATCTAGGCTCAAGTTACAAATCTAGCAACCCAGTTAACATTGGTCTTATTTTAATTTTAGGTGGTGAAGATGATGTTGATGGGCCCATTGTTCCTAATCAACCAGCCCAAGATTTCCTTATTGATGAGGAAACACTACCCTCTGAGTGGACACCAGGACCGTAAGTATTAAATCACAAGGGTGTATGTACTCGAAAAGGAAGTTATGTAATGTTAACAACTGACACTGGAGGATAATGTCTTTGGAAATTATAAGACAGAATTCATTTTCTTAACATTTACCTGCAAATCATTACCTGGGGCACATTGAGCCCCAGCAAACACAAAAAACTTGCCATGTACTCATTTTTAGTCATTTTCAGTGTATGATAATCAAAGTGAGTTCCGCCTAGGCAGAAAAAGACTAACTCTGACTGTCGAAAAAATGACCAAAAGAGTTTCATGTTTATCGGGGTAATGGGTCAATTTGGTCCAACATTTTGCAAATATGTGACTAAAGTTCTTATCTGCTTATCTAATCAAGTTTCGTTTTTTTTTTTGTTGTTGTTGTTGCAGGGACCCTGGTCCATCTACTTCGACATCAGTGCCACTGATTACCAGTTTCAGTGGCATTCTGTCACTGAATGAAGCCACTGGTTCTAGTGCGGGGTCAGAACAAAGCTCATCAGAATCAGCTAACCACAATGCCAGTAGTAATGTGAACCAAATCAACGTAACAAATAATATTACTGTTATTAATAGTGGGAACTCCAGTGTTGCGGGAGTGTACAATAATTTTACAAAAACTTAGAATGTTTTTTTGTTTGTATACTTTGAGGGTTCTGAGTATACTCCACTCAAGTTTGCAACCAGATGATGTGTTCATGAGACACAAGACTTTAAAACTCTTCCGCTAATTTATATGGTTTTAATCTAATTAATGTAACCTATGATGCACTCTTCCATCTACTCTCACAAAAATTTTGAATGAGCTTTTAGTTTTTTTTCAATTCCGGATTGTAAACTTTTCACTAACTCATGTGAATTGTATAATAGAATGATATGCTTTGAGGCTCACTTTGATGTCCATTTGATTTTGTTGATTTAAATGAAGTAAGAATAGAATCAAAATAATCCTGTATATTTATTGTATTTTATGTGCAGTGAAGTTTAAACTTCAAACATAAATGTCAAATTGTTTCTGATTGAAAATTTATTGCTAAACCATTCCTGTCAAAGTTTCAAGGTTTTGATTATCAGGTTTAGTTAGCTCAGGCTACAAATGATATTGAATCTTACCCGTTTACTTGTTTTGAATACTGTTTAGCAATCATAGGCGATTTCATCAAATGTCACTTTGCTTAACCAAATGTTTTGATTATCCGGTTGAGTTAGCTTGGGATACAAATGACATTGAATTTTAACCGTTTGCTTGGTTTAAATATTGATTAGCAACTGCTGATCTCTATCAGATGTCACTTTGCTCAACAGACTATTGTCTTTGTACTATGTTATTGCAAGAGTGAGACTCTTTCACTTTCTGTGAAATTACCTCATACTAATTTGCTGAGATCTCTTTGAGTGAGAGAATCTCACTCTAACTGGCAACAGCATTAATGTAGTGTACTACGTTTCTCCTCTAGTTTACAATTGTACTTCAATTGTAAAGCAAATGTATGGATATGTAAATAATCTCTTTCTGTGAGACATTTCTCTCCCTTTTTTCACTTTTTGTACATTGTGATATGTTAAATTGTAGTGATGTAGTATTTATGGATTCATTCTATCAATAATTGAATCAAGGTCTGTGATTTTTGTTGTTAAATATGCAATATAGTTTCATTGTTTTTTCTATCTATAGTTTTCTTCTCTTATCATCCTTGACCCTCCTACACTGCATTCTCCACTTGAATCAGCATAAAAACAAAAATCGCATTTTATCAATGGTTTAACATTGTTGATTAGGAGCCCTTGTGTTGAGAACCTTGGCGTTACTACAAAGAAATCTATATCGACACAAGCTGATTTAATGCACCACAACTCAGCAAAAAATACACCACTTTACAACTGCCATACAATAGAAGTAATAGGTAACATTAAGTAATAAGTACATAATTATATTAGTGTAAGCATTTCTTTGAAACACTGAGCGCCACACAGCGGCACATCCCCTAACAGTATACAGAATACAATGATAGCGATAGAATACTAGAGTTTTGAACAGCCGGGCCCTCCGAGTAGGGTCGGTTGGCCACGTCCGGTCACATCATTCGGACCCAAACCAGCTCTGTCCCACGCCGAGTCGAGTCCAGGCCAGAGTGCCAGGACACAAGGTGCCTCGCGGCCTGCCCATCATGGGGCCGGCCAGGCCCAAGCCCGTCCCATCCGACGAGGATGACAATGAAGTGTATTGTCAGGTCACAAAGCATGCCGGCCTGTCCCACCTGGGGCCCAGTGCTCTTGAGGGGACCCCAGAGGGGCCGGGAGCATAGAACACAAACTAAAACATCGTCCACAAATAGTGAGAAACATGACGAGAAGACGAAATACACAATTAAACGGGACCATCGAAACGGTACGCTTGTCATCGGACAACGCAAAATAAAAAATAAAATAAATGTTCTCTTGGCGCGTGAGTACGCGAGGGAACATGATAGGACCGTCCCACGTATAGGTCGCGCGCTGTGGTGGTACGTAACGTTGAGTACCCCATGAAGTGCTTTGGGAGGCAGGTGAGAGACGACCTGATCTCCCAGGGGCCGCCGAGCGCACTGTCGTTAACTTTTGTCACTGGTCAAAATCCCAACCATCTGTTTTTTTGAACATTAGGCACAAGAGCAAACGAGATTTGTGTTCCTAGCCATAGTGCCTTTAAAATAATCAAACAAACGAAAAAGACGATAAAGTAACAGTGCGTTCAGGTGCAAGTTGGGTTTGACCACACTCCATAATATATTTTACGGAACAGTATTAAAGTTGGCCGAAAGGGCCGCAACAAATAAACCGCCATATGCAGATGCCAAGTCAAAATCGTGTAATACGGGGGGCTGGGGGGTTGGGGGTGGAAGCGCTTTGTGTGGGCTTGAAGCCGTCTACCTCTGAAAATAGAGGGACAAATTTAAGTTTAATTTTCCGAAAACGAGTCCGAAAAGGAAGGCCACTTTTTTCATCAAACCCCGCAGCGCGCAGCTCACGGCTCTGTGCAGCCATTCACAGAGACCGAAACGGGGGACCTTCGTCCAGGGGCGTGCCATAGATATGCGTGTCATGGGCGAGCCGTCTATGGCAGGTGGCAGGGATGGGATCCTCCAACCTGCGCACCACGTTTTTATTTTCCTCGCAGTGGACCACCGCCGGACAGCCAAGGAACAAATCTACGATAAAAGCCCGTGTACAACTCTAAAGTTTACCAAATGACTGAAAAATGCGTCATTGCACTACCTCCAAGCAATTATGGCCATTTAGAGGAACGTTCGAATAATGTTACTACCGATTAACGGTCATACACGGGCAGCCCCTCAATTTTAAGACAATTTATGTCAATTATCCAAAAATTACTAAATGTTACGCACTTCCATCCTTTATCATGCACCAGAAAAAAAAAATCTCGAAGTAACTCGTTGTCTTTTTACTGCAAGACCCGCACCCCTGGCATATCGTACGTTTCCCCTTTCTCTATCTCGCAAATGTGCCTCCTACGATCTTGAAATTTTCCCCCAAAGAGTTTTCCTAAGAAAGGAAAATGCCAGCGGAACGCTGTTGCGCTTCGCTATCGGGTCTGGCGGTGCATAGCGCCTGTGGATGGAAGGGTAGGCCAGCCCGCGCGCCACAGAATTGTTGCGGGACCGTCTACCCAGCAGGCGCTACCTACAATCCTGTCTGGTCCACTCCGGCCATCATCCTTCTTCCACTCATTTGCACACATTCAGCACTCTCACCTTTCATCAATCCTCCAACTTATCTCTCATTCACTCATCCAATCGTCCATTTATCGAACAGTCATCCATGTGCACCCCCTCCCCTCCCCCGCGGTCATCTTGGTTCATTACTCGCCCTTCACGCTAGCTCCCTTTATTTACTTATCCACTAATCCCATCCTTCACCCGCTTCTCCGTCCACTCAATACCCACGCACTCATTACGCTCCCATCCATCCATCCATCCATCCATCCATCCATCCATCCATCCATCCATCCATCCATCCATCGATGCACCCATGCACCCATCCATGCATCCAATCAATCAATCAATCAATCAATCAATCAATCAATCAATCAATCAATCAATCAATCAATCAATCAATCAATCAATCAATCCCTCAAACCATTGTTATTGTCAAGAATGCCAGGATTATACCAAATTCATTGAATTTAAGTCAAGGATAAGAGGACACATGCACTAATAATTTAACTGTAATGGTCGATTGAAAATTTCACTGGGTATCCGAGCCCAAAACATGTTTCTTCTGATATGCAGATTAGGGGAATCGGCGAGGTCCAGTGTGAACAAAAGACCAATCGAGCAAAGTTTTGTTATGTCCGGCGTTTTTTGTTGTTTTTTGCCGGGAGCCTGCCTTATCAAGAATTTAAGCAAGGGATAGGAATTCTACAGGAAAGATATGTTTTGGTACTTGGTTGCTGCAAGTTTGACTGCTCTCCTTAGATATGTCGTCATTACTATAAATATGGACACTGCTGATATGAAGTTAGATTGAATCAGAACGGGGTGTCAACTCCCATTATATTTTTAGAAGATCGTTTTAACACGAGAATGTTGGAACAACGCATTTAGAAACCACTCCAATCCCGTCCGTATTTCTGCACGTACCGCTAAAGGAATTGGCAGTTCAAACGCAGATCTTACCGAAAGAAAATTACTCCCAGCTTGGACCCTGAACATAACCCATTATTACTTTTACATTTTTTGGTCTCTTGGAAATAGACAGCTTTTCCACAATTCACAAATATTATTTACAGGAGAAAATAAATTGTCCTGTAATTTAAAAAGATTTTTCAAGGAAAACACCTTACTGGCTCTATGCAACACCTTGCTCGACGCACAACCTTATCTATGTGATTGTCAAAAAGTGGAAAGTCAGTGGTCTAATGCTGCCCTCAACGTAATAACGACTTTATCAAACAAATTTACTCTTTGTTGAGTTTAGATGAATTATTCAGCTTTTACTTTTCTCTCTAGCGGCCACAATTTTAGTTTTTGGTGCAGCCCAATCAAAAGTAACTCCATAATTTTCATAGAACGTGGGTCATCAAGGAGGGAAGTGGTGTACCCCATCTCGCTCTTAGGTGGTTCGCACGCCACGCGGTGCTCGGCTCGGCAACGCTTCGAAACAACGAAAAGGAATTGAAACTTCCCGCGCGGCCCCTGGCTCTATCCTTCCCTCCCAGTCGCACGGCCACTGGTCCGGTGGCGGCGCTCTACTCCTCTTCCTCCTCGTTTTGGTAGGTGACGTACCGCACGGACGACTTCTCGCCCAGGATCAGGGACTGCCGACAGACAAATCAATTAAAAACGTCGCTATGGCTTCCTGCAAAAGGTTACTTAAGTAAGAGTGAATTCACTCAAAAAACTCAAAGAAAAATAAGATCAGAAAAAATAAAGGAAATAAAGATAAATAGAAATAAGAACAAATAAAATAATTAGGGAAAAAATCCGAAACATCAAGGAACAGGAAAATCGGTGTAAGCTTGAATTTATATTGAAGTGCCCCAGAAATTTTGAACAGAGTGTGATGGACGTTTACCTTGTTCTCCTCCTTGGTCGGCGGGTTCTTGAGACTGTAGAGCAGGGGCGCGTAGCACAGGCTGAGGATGGCGATGCCGAACAACATCCACTCGAAGCCGATGGTGTTGACTAGGGTGCCGCTGAGTGCGGGGCCTGGTGTGGCGGGAACGTGCAGAGTGTGGTCAACCGAAAACAGAAATGCGTCTGCCGCGCAAGCTGTGAAAGCCGCATCGGTCGCTCGTCCCGACGGACTCACCGATGGCAAAGCCCAGGCAGAACGCCACGTCCCCGATGGCGTACACGGAGCCGTACACGGCCGAGTGGCGGATGTCGACGAGGTAGCCGAGCTCGGGCATCATGGAGCTGTCCACCATGCCGATGGCGAAGCCCAGGCCGGCGTTGGGCACGATCAGGTGGTTGATGCTGCGGGCCAGCGGGATCTGGACCGAGAATGAACGGGCGTCACCAAACGGGCGGGAGGGAGAGAGCGAGGCCGGGGGGAGGGGGCTGGGAATATGTTGGGCATGATCGGGCCCAGATCCGGACCGGTATACTTACACACATGAGGCAGATGCCGATGATGACGAGGCCGATGAGCGCGGCCAGCCAGCGGCCCATGCGGTGGCCCAGCGGCCCGAAGAGGTTGGTGCCGATCAGGTAGGAGATGGAGGCGGGCAGGAAGGTGACGCCCTGCTGCCAGCGCTCCGCGTCCATCGTGTCCATCATCCAGATGGGCAGCGAGGGCTCCAGCATGGCGATGCCCGTGTTGGCGAACGTGATGGCACCTGCGGGTGCACAGACAAAATAGCCGGTGGTAACCGCCGCCCGGGGCTCCGAAAGCAATAGACAGACACACACACACAAGTTCGCGCACCTGCGGCCACGAGGATGTAGGGGTCGCTGACGAGGGCCTTGAGGGATGGTGGTTCCGTCTCGGGCTTGACAACACCAGGCCGTAGTAGGAGCAGCTGTAGGACTGGAAACCAAAGGAAGAGGGTTTACTCCTCAACTAAAGCTCATCATGAAGAAGAAGAAGAGGAAGAAGAAGAAGAGAAGAAGAAGAAGAAGAAGAAGAAGAAGAAGAAGAGGAAGAAGAAGAAGATGAGGAAGACTCACCTCCGTCGCCGAGGGCCAGGGCGGAGAGAACGAGGAACGGCGCCGACTTGCCGACGAACTCGAACATGAAGCCGCCGAAGGGCGGTCCGATGAGCACCCCCAGCGCCAGCCCGCCTAGCGCGATGCCCATGGCGTTGCCGCGCTCCTTGTCGTCCGGGTAGCGCTCTGCCAGCATGCCCATTCCTGGATCGGGCGGAGGTGACAACGTGTTTTAACGCCTTACATTCCGGCGAGAGACGTCAAACGGCAACCCTGCTGTTGCCTGTTCTACCAAGGGATTGCAGAGTCCGAAAATTTTCCAGAAATATTGGAAACTATTCTATACGATAAAATTTGAAAAAAATAGAATCATTTCCAGACAGAATTATAAAACTTTTCCGGAAAAAAATCAGACATTTAAAGTCTTGAAGAAATGGACAAAGATGATACACCGCGCACTGCGATACTCCGCGGCGTTTCTCACCAGCTCCCTCGAGTGCAGTCATCGCAACAAGTCTGCGCGCCGCGTCCTGCTCAACAAGTGCGTGGGCGTGGCGCGAGGGCCGCCTATATAGTTGTTAGTATTCTGCCCGCGCGGCTGCCTCTGCCACCGCGGCTGCCGTTGCGGAAAGATCAACGTGTGGCGTGCACGTTTA